TACATAACTAAAAACTAGTTTAAGTTAATAAATATATACTAACTTCTCATCCTACACACCATATATATACATATGCAGTATATATATATATATATAAACATATATAATATAAGTTTCAAATATCAATGTCTCTAAGTAGGAGGTGGTAAGTGATCAGGTCTAAATCCTCCAAAAGGAGGATTAGCAGTCTGGGGTGGTGCAAAAAAAGGATAACCAGTCTAGGGTTGTGTAGCATTCTTAGAATATTGCTGGCTAAGCAGGCGCATGTGCTCTTGGAATCTCCTCTCAAAGCTGGTCTCCATCTTTGATACTCTTTGTGATACCTCTGTCTGAATACGTGTGGCCACCTCTGTCTGAACTCGCTCAGCCGTTTCTTCTCGAACTTGAGTAAGCTCAGACTGTAACTACTGGACCTATGTTGTAAGAATCCTGGTGGTAGAAGAGGAGGCGTCACTCATGTCATCCCGTCACCAAGGGATGCCATACTCTGCTGGATCTTGTAATGTAGACATCCCTCTCATCTGACCCTTTTTAGGAGGTCCAACCACCTCCTTTCAGATAAGTGGATCCCATTCTGGCCACGAATCCTTGTTTGGCCCATGTTTTTCCACATATTTTTGGTGAGCATCATTTTGTTTCAAAAATAAAATTTTCATTAGTTAGCAATTTCAAATGATAATGGGAAGTCAAATGAAAAATAATAATTTACTGAGTACAATGTATAAAAAATTGCATCACTTTTCTTCTTTTAGGGCAATATGACATTAAAAATAAATAAAATTAATATCATAAAAGAATTAGATTCTTACATATGTTTGCTCAGCTTGTGGACATATCCAAGTGGGTGGGGCATCTTCTGGAGCATCAGGTCGGTGAGTCATATAAGTCAACAAGTACGACTCTAAAGGTGTCGGCCTAACTCTTCCTCTTTTAGCTGCCTATTAAAACATCAATAAAATCAATAACATTTCCATTTTTATGGTAAACAAAAATAATTCATATATGTATATATATAAGTATATCCTACTAACCAGTCGATCCTCATGGATCCCAATAGAAAAGCATCCAGTTGTGTGGGTCACACGTCACCCTTTGCTCGGTTTTGCTGACCTCTTTCCTGGAGTGCAATATATTTTGGACTCCTCCATTTTGCCAACAAAATTTTAAAGGTATCCTTATGCATGAACTCGGGCAACTTCTTGTCTTTGACCCATGCCTTTCGAGCTCGATGAAGCTCGTCTTGGAAGCGGTTCTGACAATGTAATCTCCAAATTTTATACACACGAGCATCATTTTCTTCCCAATAATATGTCCTCTGCAATGAAAAAAAAAATTAAATGTTAATAATTTATTTGATTTTTCTTAAAAAAAGAGCAAAGTTTTACTTAAATTATCATTTTTTTCACTATTAATAAATAAAATATAAAAAATCATATAAAATATACCTTGTACTTCCATATCAAATGCCATAAAATAAAATGATAGCATCT